ACCTCACCTGCTTAAAGGGCGGGGAGGTGCTGCAGGTGCTGCAGTGGGGCTGGGTGGGTTGGGTTGAGTTTCTGGGTGGTTGCTTTGTGCTAAGGTAGGTCAGCTGGAGTGCTTTGGGGAGTGGGCACCTGTGAGGAGCTTCCCTGCTGTGGGAGGTGCCTCTGCTGGGCTTCCTCGGAGCAGAGAGGAGCTGCTGGTGCTGCTGCCCCTTGCTGTGAAGTGGCTCGCTGGCTCAGTTTGCTGTCCTGAAGCTCTCCTTGGGGAGAGGGTGACCTTTGCTGGCTGTGGGTTCTGCTGGTGTTTGGGCTCTTGCTAATCATATCTCTGTGCTCTCCCCAGGTGCAAAGATGGGGTGCTTTACATTTATCAAGGTCATGATGGTCCTCTTCAACCTGACCATATTTGTAAGTGCTTCTCAGGGCCCTGTTTAACCTAGGGGTGGCTCACCCTGCTCAGGGTTGGTGTGAGCCTGGTGGACCTCCCTTGACTGCTTTGTCAAACTGGGGAGTGGGGCTGGGGCAAGTGACTCCTGGTGGGGGGAGGCTGTGCTGCCTGGTGTGCTGCAGATGGGGTGGATGAAGCTGGTTGGCATTGACTTCCCTGCCCCCCTGTGCTCCCTCCTGGAGGGATCTGGGGATGTGAGTAGGTGGATGCTGGTGAAATTTCTGTTCCTGGGACCTTGTGGGGTATGAAAGCTGATTGCTGCCTGGTTTTAGCTGGGAGCCCTGCTTTGTAGTGGGGCAGGGCAGCCCTGAGCTGGGCACTGCTGAGCCATGAGCTAGCAGGAATCTTGCTGAGTGCCTGTTCTGGGTGTGGTGGCCAAAGTCCAGAGCAAGGTGAAGCAGAGACTGTGCTGGGGATGGTGGCTGTTGTGTCAGCTGTGCATGTCTGGCTGGGGGTGCTGGATGCTATGCACCCTAGAAAGAGTCACTTCTGGGCCCCTGTCTCTCCAGGGGAGCAGCCTGTGTGTGTAGTAGGGACTAAAAGTATTTGGCTCCTGGGAGCATGTACAGCCAGGGGACAGTAGCAGAGGTCCCTTATAGCTGCTTTGACTTTCCAGGAGCAAGAAAGCCACATGGAAGGGGGTGGACTGAGACCTCCTTGGACAGGGAGGAGGGGGAAGCAGAGCCCCTAAGCTCCAAATGCTCCCTTCTTAAAGCTCTTGCCCTGCTTTGGCCTGGTGCTGGCAGGAAAGGTCTGAGCCTCCCCAAGGACAGGGCTGCAGGGGGTGTCCCTGGATGGAAATGGCCTTGAGCTGATCTTGTGAGCAGTGTAGGAGTGGCTGGGGCTAGGTGTTGCTCAACTGCTCTGGTGGGTGAGTGGGAGGCTTCTTGTGGCTGGAGGAACTTGTGGCAGTGCCCCTGGGCAGTGTGATGGCCCTTGTTGTCTGAGCTGGCTGCATGGGCCCCCCAGAGCTGAGGTGCTGCTGGCTCAGCTGCTCTGCATGGGGGCTGCTGTAGTCCTGCTGGCCCCAAGACTATTTGCAGCTGCTCCTTTCCCTATGGCAATGCAGCAGCCCAGAGGATGTGCTGGTGGTGGCTGGCATTTTGGGGAGTGACCTGTCCAGCCACCCTGGAGCCTGCAGCACCCTGAGCAGCCCTTGGTGGTTGGGAGGGTGCCAGGCAGACAACATCTTGTGTTGCAGGGGGAAGACTTTGGGAGCAGAGGAATACCTGTGCCAGCTCCTCGTGTGCCTCCCTTGAGCTGTGTCTGAGTGCTGGGCTGGCAGGGAGCGGGGCTGCCCCTTCCCAGGAGCTCCTGGCTCCTTTTCTGTCCAAGTGCGGTGTAAATAACAGTTTGGTGTGGAGGTGGCAGGGTTTGCTCTTTTTCCCCTGTCCTTCCTCTTGGACTTGTGATGATGCAAAGACTGGGGATATGGGAGTGGAGGTGATGCCAAGCAGAGTCTCCATTCCTCTCCCTGGAGGGCAGCTGTTAAGACTGTTGCTGTTCCTCCTCTTTGTGGCCCTGGCCTGGCCAGAGGGGCTTGCTATGATCTGAGCAAAAACTTGGAGGGGGGGGCCTGCTCCACTGATCTCTGGGTGCATCTGGCATGTGCCCTGATTAGCAGGGATGGCCCCAGCAGAACTCTTCACTCACTGCCATGATAAGTGAGAGGGACAGGATCTAGGAAACTTTGGGTTTTATGACTCTGGGAAAGCTGTACCATGGGCTAGTAGAGGGATGGGATGCAGACATAGGGATGTAGGCCTTGTATCTTCTTGCTGGGCAAGGCTGCTGGGAGCCCTGAGCCTCTGTGGTACCTTGGGCTGAGCCTGGCTCCTGCCCCATGCATCTCCCTGGGTGACCCAAGGGACTGGATCTGAGAGGGCACAGTGGTCTGGCTGGGTTTGGGGTGGCAGCATGTGGCTGACGGGGAGAAGGTGCAGCAGGGTGTGAAGAGTGCTGAAACCTGAGATCTGGCAAGGTCTTGCCCTGCTCCTCCTTGCTTCTGAAGCTCTAAGCTCTCCCAGGGCTTGGCTGTCCCTTGCTTTCTACCCCAATTCCAGAGCAATTTGAGTAGCATCTTGCCTGACCCATCCCAAGGTCTTCTGCCCTTCCTC